ACCTGTGTGTTCAGAGTTCACCTGTGTGTTCTGAGTTCACCCTTGTGTTCAGAGTTTACCCGTGTGTTCAGAGTTTATATGTGTGTTCAGAGTTCACCGGTGTGTTCAGAGTTTACTCGTGTGTCCAGAGTTTACCTGTGTGTTCAGAGTTCACCTGTGTGTTCAGAGTTCACCTGTGTGTTCAGAGTTCACCCTTGTGTTCAGAGTTTACATGTGTGTTCTAATGATCTGATGTATTTCAAAGTGGCATTGGTTTAACATTCACAAATGTTGTATGAATATTCAACTGATCTCCAATAAATCAGTAATTTCAAGGTCATATCATTACTTGACTTATGACATTGAACGTGTGAGTATTGCCAAAATATGATTTACATCTCATATCAGTAACCGCTGCCAACATGTACAATTGAATGACATGAATTTTGAAGAGCTACTCAACAAACATTGTTGCTGCGAAATCTCAACCAATAGCATCCTCAGTTGTGGTCGCTTAAGTTTGAAAAATAAGACCATGTTGAATTTTTCATTTTTTGTAATGTCCGAAAAATGACGCCAAAATATTTAAATAACAAATATTAAATAAAATCTGCCGAAAAATTGTCGATTTCTTGGTCCCATTTTATTTTTTTTAAAAACCCAAACTCCAAAATCTGGTACTAGTACTAGTATGTACAAATTTTGGGTGTATTGTTTTCTGGTGACAATATCAATCAAAACAATGAACTATTTAATTATATAACACAAGTGACTACGGGAGAAAAAAAATCACTTTTCTAGAAGCCATGGATCGATAAGTTATTTGCAAGATCTCCTCCCCGGCAGGTTCTATATGGCCATGCCTTTTCTTGTTAAGTCTAAGTTAAGTCTGACACCAGCTCATTTATCTAGGCTTATGAAGAACTTGAGGGTAAACCTGTTAATGATTTAAAATTTGTAAAAGCAGCATTGTATTTTAATAACAGTAGAAATAGAAGAAAACCATGTAAATAATGCAGATTGCTGACATGTAAAGGGTGGAATGAACATGTAAATAAAGTACAATATAAATGTGATTAATGCCTGTTTATGTTTATTGTGTAATAGTTCGTGCAAAAAACTATTTTAGAAAAATAAAGTACAGTAGCGACAGGGACCCCACATATTTTTAAGGGATCCACACATTTTATAAGGGGTGGGTCCCAGGGACTCCACATTATCGAACACTAATGAAATCCCTGATTACATTGAGTGAAATGATTATTGATGCTAACAATACAAGCTCCTACACTTATGGTGACTTAATCTAAGACTCATTGACAGTTTTTGACCATGAAACATTTGCAAAATCCAGGATTGACCTGAACCCTAAAACAGCTTTTCAGCCTCTCTGGCCATAGTTACATGATACAATAATCATGCAGCTTTGAACTACTTCATTTGACCAATAATTAAAGACTCTGTATTCTTATACACTTGTTCACAGGGACAGGCAACTTCTTCACTTACCTGTCCCAGTCCCTGAGTCCCTGCACATAAATAGTTCAGTAAAACATTGGAGTGTGATTCAACTCTTTGTACATTCATTCATAAGCTGAAATTCAGATTTGATATTGTCATATAGTATTTCATGAAAATCCTTCTAAATCTTTCCATAAAAATGCACTACTATTAGAGATATGCTTCTAATATTAAGCAAATACAATACTTTCCTGTATTTTTATGAGTGCTCCACCCAACTACAACCACAAAGAAAAAGAGAAAAACGGTTAAAAAAATAAAAAAAAATAGATGATCTAACCAGTTGTTGTGGCGTCCTGTTCTGTATCAGTTGATGCCCGTCTTCTCTTGCTTCTTGATTTAACCATTATCAGATGTCTACAATACAATATTATGAGGTTATTACGAGGATACCTCAAAGTATGCACAAAGACAGTACAGCTGAGTATCGACCGACACATAATGGAGGTCGATGCAAAGATGTACTGTCTGAGTACATATCTTTTCCTACCTTCCAAGGATACATCATGGGAATGCCGAAATCTAAAATGTTTAGAACTGAATCAGGGAACTTCTTTGTGTGGAGTTCGGTCAAACTCCGGTGGCAGCCATGTTTGTTTTTATTATTAGAGGACGCTTACGCGCATAATCATTCCATAGTTGGAATTTGCATTTCCTAATGTTGGAGGATGAAAATACCCCGTAAAATATCGCAAAATTACGACAAGCTGTAACTTATGTCATTACAGTGACAGATGTATAATAATATACGTTATTAGTGTAGTGAAAAATAGAAAAAAAATAGTATCACAGTGTTTCAATGTGATATACTTCAATCATGGAACTATAAACCCCAGGAAGAACAACCACTTCGTTTCCTTTGAACTATGATAGTTGCCGCGATGTCGAATGTTTATTTTGACTGTTTATTTTGTCGCATTAAAAAATAAGCCGATTTACGCAAATGAACGTTTATCTCCGACTGTCGGTCATTTTCGGAGTCAATCGGACGACTCCGGGAGATCACGTGACCGAGTTGTTCCGGTTATAGCATAAAAAAACAATGGCGCCAAGACAAAAACACTGATAAATGATCGACATTCAACGGAAAAAAAAAACACATTGCCACTTCTGGCGATCGAAGGGAAACACGGAATTAGTCGGGATATCTCAACAACAAACAGCTCACCAAAGCCCATGTTTCGCAAACTTTCGCAACCTTATTTTTTCGAGGGTTGAAAAAAACAAGAGTAATCTAAAAACGACATTAAAAATTATGAAAACTCGCTAAAACTCCGACCCGTTGCATGATTTCCGGTACACTGAA